GAATGACGACTGGGATTGCTTGGGTATGAGGACATTTTTCTGGGTGTGGCCGTGATGGAAGTGTATATTTGAAAGGGGAAATGCGCTGTTGCGTCTGGGGTTGGTAGTTTGAGAGCTGCCAAGAGTGATGATGGCACAGGGGGTGGGATAGCTTCGTCGTTGCATGAAGTAAATGGACTGGGGTTAACTATTATTTGTGGGGTAGTTAATGGAGGTATCCGTGGCTCAACCCTGACTGAGTTCTGAGGGACCCAGGGCAGTGGTAGCTGGCATTCTGAGACAGATATAATCGGCAGTATCCAAGAGACACCAGCAATGTGTGGTTGGCTTCCGTGTAGAAGCATATCCTCGCTCTCAGAGATTCTATAGGTCGATTTCTCCTCGTGTTGTTGAACTTTGAGTCTCCAAAATCTGTATCAGGGTGGTCATGTCGATCATGCATCGATAAAGGAACCTGCCGATAACAAGGCCCCATTTGGACCTCAGAGTAGGCCATTATTCATGATTTGAGTGTGCTGAATCCAGCTAATTTTGTATGATGTGTTGCTTCCAAGACATTGCCAGACATTCTCGTATTCAGAGTATGCCAAGTTACCTCCTTTATAGTGTCATGGCAATTCCCATAAAGTAGGACCACCAGAATAGGCGTGCTGATAGAGAGTATCGACCGCTGATTTGAGCAGATATGTCTTTATACACTGACGAAGGCTGAACATCCAGATCCCACAGGCCCAGTGCATCTTCCTCATTCTCTTAGTAATATCTCTTGTGTTTATACTTTCTGATAGACTCCACTTATAAAGCGGATGCATTGTCCACACGAACTAATGAGCTGCTCTCCATATATTCCCAATCTTATTGTCCTGTTTATCTTGTCGATGAGAACATTCGAGTATACGTCTCCAACGAATGACAAAGGTTGGAACACCTCCTCTCCACACACAAGTCATCGTCCGTTTCAAAGTAGTTCTCTATTCGGCTTCCTCTTTCCAATTCTTGTCTCGAGCTATACAGCATCAACGAAGTGTGAACACCTCATCTCCGCACACACAATTTGTCTGTCTAATCATGTTCTTAATTAGTTTCCTCTCGTCAAATCTTGTCTCCAGTTACACGCCCCCAACTGGGTGCGAATATATTTCTTTTCAAACACAATGTATCTTCCTCATCTTCATCACCCATTGCCTTCTCAGGAGTCAGATATAAACCCCCCAACATCCAACTATAACTCCCAAGTCCTCGCCACCTCACTCGAATACACCATAGCCTGACCCAGATCCAGACTGGACCACTTCTCCGGATTCTGCACCGCATCGACGTAATGATTCAGCGCGAGGATCATCTGTCTGGCCCACCTTTCAGGCGAGACAAGCCCACACCCCGTTGCAAACGGGGTCATCAAGAGACTATCAATCCTCGTTGCCCCGTCTGCTGTCCTCTCAGCATCACAGTTATGTCTGTCGATAGCGCACAACAAGCTCCAGATACACTCATATACGATCTCCCGATCCCAGCGCACATTCTGCGGCACTCTCATGGTCGGACAGAGCGCCAAGTACCTTGTTCCCCAAACGTTCTTTGATAGAGGGTCAAACTCCTCCGGGATAGAGATGAGCGTACATGATCCCGGAGGCAGGTAGCCCCGATAATCTCGATAGAGAATACGCTGCGCGTGACGAGTCAAGGCGAGATAGTCTGACGTTGGGGAAAAGGCACGTGAGATGGCGTCGTCGAAGCCACCGTCTAGCCGGCCGTAGGAGTTGGCTGGAGAGACGATGACATCGAATTGAATGTTTGAGGAAATATAAGAGAGAGAACAATTGTGGAAGGTGATCTTAGGAAATTGGGGAGATGTGGTGGTTATCGATAAGACAGATTCGACGGCACGGATGTATTTTTCGTCCATGCAGAGGAGATGAATATTAGGAAGAGGGGATGCTGTAGGTGGCATCATGATTGTAGATGATATGGTTCCAGACAGATAACAGTCTTGGATATTACTTTGGAGGATCTTTCTATATTTATAATTTTCCGAGGATTGCTGCAGCCTTGCCTTGGCGCCCCACGGAGGCTGAGTTGTTCATGGGTAGTGCTGATGAGGCTGATGAGGCATTGTGCAGGCAAATGACTCATGTGTCTTGTGTCCTCTATATGTCTAGGATGGTGGCTCTGTGATTGAAATCTGAGACAGGCAGATCTTACGTCCTATTTATAATGTTGGGAAAGAGGTATTATAGAATTATGCAGTTCACAAATTGGCGGAGATTCCCGCACCACTAGTCAAAGTCTTGCCCGCGAGTTCCTCCAGAATATCCGCCACTTTGTCTGGCATGCTCAGATACGGCGAATGGGAGCTTTTCAATCTATAGATCCACTTCGTGTTCAGCATTTCTGCCATCTGCTTCTGCACATGTGGCGGAAGTGCCCGATCTTCCTCGCAGATAATGTAGGCGGTCGGCATGACATGCCAAGGCTCAAAGGTCGAGGCACCGGAGAATACAGCAATAGAAGTGTGAGTCAACCGGGATGTCCACAGTTCCTGGTCGACAGGTGAGATGTCGTGGAAACCGTATTCAGGTCCTTCAAGGCAATGCACGTAATCACCCTGAATCATGTAAGGTGAAAGTCGCAAATTCACGATGTCATTGAACTCACCTCTGCTTTCATGAACGGCAAGAACCGGCCTCCCAGCATATCCAGGAGACTCTTCCACTTTGGTATGGCAAATGCACTCATGTACACGACCATGACAACCCCACCCTGCTTTCCCTGTTGCGCGCGTTCTGCCTTGCCCAACCCTTCGACCGCCCCGGACCCGACAACTCCACCGTATGAATGTAGCACTAAGATGATGTCTTTCCCCTTGTCGATCATCGAGACTAGCTCGGACCGCAAGTGAGCAACATCGTCGGCCAGAGTCTTCGAGGGTGGCTCCGCACCAATGGAGGGGTGGGCAATGGCCATCGAAGGTAAATCACGCGAGGTTAGAGTAGCACGCAGAGCATCATAGACAATCGGGGTGCACCACGCCCCAGGAACCAGGACAATGGTTGGAACAGATACCATTTTGCGAATGTAGATAATTGCGATGTGCCAGAAGATTAACTGGTTTGCAGTTTCAAGCCCCCGGGGAAGTCTCAAGTAGAGGGCAAAATTCCCACTTACCGAGGTGTCCCGCGCCTCAGTCTAGATTACCCGTAAAGGGGTGCGATCTTCAACGCGAATCACTCTGTTGCAACGGCGTTCTATGCCATTATTGAGGTAGCCCATAATTGGGCCGGTCTGTCCTTAGCCTACCTGTCAGCCGTCTTAGCCCACTCGCTTGGACATTGGCAAACCGAACGGTCCAATGCCGTTGCGTGCACGGGTGCGCTATACCACCAGTATCCGCAAACCGTTTTGTTAACGAAGTGGATCCAACCACTCGGAAATCCCGCCAGCCGAGGGAAGGTTATCGTTCTTCGACCCCTCGAGCAGAAGGGTCGTGTAAATCAGACATATAGGTAAAGTCGGGTATGCCGGACGGGACATTTAACTCCATACTGTGGCCTGCATGGCCCTAGGCGTATGATAGGAATTGGGGGGTTGTAAAATTAACACACAAATTGAGCAGTAAGCGAGGACGGTTGCGCTTATGGTCTTGGCGAAATTGACTTTGCTGCTCCCTCTTGCCATTAGAGGGGTAAGAGAGTGCCTTGTGCCTTGGATGTTGTCAAGCTTACACTCGTCTCCTAGGGCATGGTCATTCGACTTCCCGGAAAGACCGTGCCAATATGTTGACTGCCGTCTATGGGTTGATGTGCTGAGCGGTTATGCAGATATGGTGTATTGTAAGTTGTTTGTCTGATAGGCCAGGCCCTTAGACGATGCTTCACAGAATCTGGCAGGCTGGGTATCACTTTGTCGATAATTTGATCTCTGCTGCTCTCTAGCCATCAATTGCACCTTCCCAGTAAATCTGACAGAAATCATTTCATCCTTTGTCAACTCGGTGTGGTGATGGAAACAAAGGTGGATGAAGGTTATGATTGAAGACCAGGCGTAGCCACTCTAGCTTATAGGATATTCAAAATGTGACCATAGTGCAACTCAGGATAGCCATGTTGTCAACAGCCAATAGCCATTCATCTAAACGTCAATATGGTTGTTTGGCGAAGGTTGTGTTAGTGTGCTTCTTGGAAATATTAGTGAATGGCCCAATAAAAGTCTCCTTCTCATAAGGTGGAGCAGAGAGCATTGTGGTACATGATGTATATGCCTAGAAAACAGCTGATGCAGGTTAAACAGTGACCTTCTTCGGCAATATTTGTCTGGCCTAATTGTCCTAACTATTTGGTCGTCCTCTGAATATTAGTCAAATTATCGCTGCTGTGCATGTGGTATAATAAGGGTTGCATTCGTACACCACATTCTCCAGCCGGCTTGAAGAAGCCGTGGGAGATCTCGACTTCTCTGGGCTTGTCACTGTCATCGAGCATGGCGAAGTCATGCTGCTTAGTCGGAGACATTGTTGTTTTGTGTAGATAATCATGACTTGTACTCATATCATGATGAGAATGGATCAACAGGTAGTTAGATCGATGAAAGAGAAAGAAATGTAGTATCTGGGGTACAACAGTAGCATCCTGAGAGTATTAGCAGGAGAGGCAGTTCTGAAATAAATCCAACATTGATAGACTCCTGAAGATATGTGTTGTCACCTGATTACTGGGACACCCTCGACCTTGCTATTCACTTTCCTGCACCGACTCACCGGAGCTTTCCTCGAAGGCAAATCATAACGATGTCTATTGTTGGGACGACCCTGGTGAAGTAGGGGTATGTTCCAATCATTCGACAGCAAGGGCGGATTCTGGCCAATGCCATGGGATTCAAGTACGTAGTAGACTGAAATTTACATGCGGATTCCGTCTTTTTTATTGATATCTACGTGTAAGCAGGGTGTGACACGACGTTAGAATCTTTTTACGATCCCAGAGCTGACGTGGCCCATCAACGAGGTCACATAGAGATGTCCAGATTGCTACAGAGAACTGAAGACGCAAAGATGACACCATTCGCTAATGTTTGGCAACTAACACAATACACACTTGTTGCATTCACGGTAAAGTGCAGCCCTCAGCTAGAGGTATTAGACCAACCTTCCAGGTTCACCGTGATCGGCTTTCGTCCTGCCCTGGTGATAACCCATTCGACATCCTGGTCTGATTGGTTCATCTCCTGGTGCTCAGTGTAACTGCATACAGGTCGATCCGGGGTCAGTTCATGTCCTCGATCAAGTAGAGGCCGCACTACTTACGCAGGAATGATAGCAAAGTCACCAGGGGAGAGGTCTTTGCGCTGCTTTCCCCCATCGAATACAATGGAACCGTGGCCCTTTGCGGCGTAGACCACGGTATCCTGCTCACCGTGATGGTGAACAGCCGAGCAGGAATGGGGCTCAGCGCACATGACTGGCAGAAGGTGTATTAGAAACAGTTTGAACTATGGAAGGGAATTCAACCAACCTAGTGCACACAACTGATCTGACTTGTCGACAATGGCTCCCTTTCGAACCATTCCTTCCGTCCGGCCACCTATCATTTGTTTTGGTTATTATCCCATCCTTATTCCCTGGAGAAAAGTTGGACATACCCGTTGCCTCATCCAACTCCGAGGATCTCGTGACATCAACCTTATTGTTGGCCATTTTGAATACTTTTACTCATTCAAGCAAACACAGAATGCTCTCAATAAGCAGCCTGCGTGAAGTTGCGACACGAGCTTAAAAGGGGATTGATGCAACCCCACCATGCTGAATAATGCCATGACATCACCGGCTGCCAATTTCGACGATCCAAGCAGGCTGCAGAAATACAAGAGCCACGTATCTTGCTGCCTATGACTCGGCCGAGTACAAGTCAGAATTTAAGCTCATACTCATGTCAACACAGGGGATGGTTAAAAAAATTCGGTGTTAGTGGTAGGGTTGCACGTCCCGAACTGGAAGCCTAAACCTACTGAGCGCCAAGCTTTGATATGATGCTTATTTGTACCATAATGGACTCGCAGGAGATTATGACTCGCTCAAATGGAAGTGCCAAGAACCTCGGTTCACATTTGTGGGACCAAGGCAGGTCACCAACCATGTGGAAGGCGATCCCACAAATACGAACAAATGCAAAAAGTAGTTCAAGGCCCTTGCCCGGCTAGTGTGTGGCCTGAGGTTGAAATATATCTCTTTCTGCCTGAGGCGATAGGCAATTTATGCAATCATCTCACTGCTGAGTCAGATGTACATATTCTCATCAGTTATGTCAACACAACATGTTCTTGCGTCCGGTTCAAGTGAATTCCAGAATTAGAGAGGCCAGACAAATGGCATGATGCTGTAGAAACGGAAAACCAGAGAATTGCTATACAAGAGGACACCGCTGGAGTAAACACAGCCTCAGCCCAGCAGACTCAGCAAGCCCAAAGTGAATGAGAGGTGAAGATGCATTATTTTGACAGCAATGTTATTGGCAAGCATATTTTCCGCGAAATAGAAAAGGTTGGATATGCTTCATGAGCAGATGACAGTGAATGAGCGTATAATTCTCATAGTTGAGGACTAAACTTCTTAGTTCAGATCTTGCTCGCCACTACTCCCAGCTTCCCTACTCCTTCTTCTACGCATGCTAATCTAGCATCAAATCTCTCAAACTACTCCTTAAGGTTCATTCAAACTTCACCTTCCATCATGAGCAAGCGCAGGCCTCCGCCCACCACCACAAAACGTAAAGGGACATCCGCAGAAGACGGTGGTGATAAAAAGATCAAGCTTGGTCAGACAGTGTACCTTCTCGACGGGCCTGAACCCAAAGGAAAGTCGGTACGCTCTGTTACAAGATGGCTAACACATGGACCTCCTAGAATCTATACCCACTGGCACTTTCACGAACATCTTCCAAACCGATATCATTGTTCTTGGAACAAAGGGCTCCGACTCAGAATTCAGAATTCACACAGGGCTCCTGAAGTCCAAGTGTTGTGCTCTCTACAAATCTCACATAGAAAAAGCAGTAGACGATTATGTCTGCATGGATACGGAGGCCAGCACACTCTCTGCTCTCGTCGGGTGGGTATATACAGGGGAATACCCCGAAAAAGCGGATCTTATGAAGAGTGACATCAAGTGCGCATCCAACCATGAAGAATCCGTTGAATGCAAAATAGCCAATTCTATTTCCGACAACATCCAGCTCTACGTGTTTTGCGACAGACACAGTATCCCGGAATTAGCAAGCCTTGCAATCATACAAATGAAGAAAATCATGTCTGGGATGGGCGATAGCCGGATACATGTGTCGGTGGGTTTAACATCAGCTGCACAGTTCGCTCTTTCCAAGCTCAAGGAGAACGACCCATTGTTCGCCTATCTTGCACATTTCGCAGCCTACCACATCGAGATCCTCAGATGCAGTGGCAGCTTTTGCACGCTATTAAGCAACCACCCTAACTTTGCATTCAGCATTCTTCACTATGCAGGGCCTGCAAAGAAGAAGCCCGAGTAAGCTTTGGATCTAAAGGCCCCTGGCATCTTTGTACTTGTGATAAGGACTGGGCGTCGTTGTTGGACAGAGAAATGTGTTGAGATTGAGTTTTACACAGATTGATCACATTGTGATTATCCCCAAACGACCCGGATGGTCATCTGCATGTATTTCAATTGAGTCTATTCTCGTCCAATCAAAACAATACATCCTTCTTGCTACCAAATATCTCCTCTTCGATGTCCACCACAAGCGAAGCCAAACTCAACATCACCCAAACGCGCAAGCCGTAAAAACAACACCTATTCCCCCACTACTACGGTGAACCCCCTCCCACCCCACCAACACACTCAAAAATTGGCCTTCATCTAACTCTATATAGATCAATACTTTAGCTTAATATAAATAAACTACACTAAATATAATCCTCTTCCGCCCCCAAATCAATCCTAACCAATAACAAAAAGTGCGCATTTTAGTGTCGGACACGGATACGGACACGGAACCGGAATCGGGAAACTTCGGAACGCTGTCGGAGTAAGCTCGGGAATATTCCGATCCTTACAGTGGGCAGATCCGAAGTAACCCTTCTAATTAGGGAAGATTGTTTACCTGCTGTAGCAGGAGATTGCGTATTGAAAAGTGTGTTCCAAGTGAAGATTGGGTACGGATATTGTTATGCTATGCGCTTGTAGCTCTGGATTAAGAGGTTTACAGAAAGTTGGTATCAATCATATCAATCATGAAGATCACATATTTGATTGCACCGTTACTATGTACTAACTCAATCTATTAGAAGCCTAACCATGCAATACTGGAATCTTGCGTTCCTGCATGCTTGCCTCTCCTTACATGCATCGGTATGCGAGACAGGGTTTCTTGGCATTGATATTCGCCCATGATTGGAAAAGACCGGTTCGGCGGAGACATACATGTACACAAGCATTTTACAGAGATCATCCGGACCCGAGGATAAGGGTCGATATATGCAAGGCATGAGTATTTTCTGTGGTATTTCAGAAGTTGATACCATTGTGCATAGAGCAGGTTGTGTGGGGGATGTGGCGATCTCGCCTTTGAAGGGATGCGTTCAGCTTTGGTCTCAAAGTACGTAAGGGAGAACGTGTGCGAGGGAGCTATTTGCTACGATTATTGCTTATTAGAAGCGAAGATGCCATAGTTTAGCTCGCAGACTGGTAATGTATAGGAAATATTTACTCTTGAGGGCCTGTTATTCCCTGAGTGATGTGTACGTCGATGTCATGGTTATGACGGCCTTACCTGATGGAGAGTGAAGTTCAGGATCGAAATGATGTAACGAGAAGTTATCTGCTAGCAGCTGTCTATACTATGTAGTACAGACATCACACCACATTCAGCGTAGTGCTGCTCGATAGCCTCCTGGACAGTACCATTGAGTGGAATATCGCTCGACTTATAATTAAAGCGTTCCATCACTTTGGAGATCTGAATCAGCCTTCACGTCCTGGCTCTGCCAGAGAAGTTTATTGAGAAGGCATTTTGCGACAGCTGCCTGTGCAGACTCATTCAAATAAACCAGGTTTTGGGCCACCTTCGTGATGAAACTGCGAGCTGAGGGGCTGAGCAGGAGATTGAAATGATCCTCCATCAGAAACTCATATAGCTCCTGCGAGGAGCGTTTCCATATGGTCTTGCTCTTAGACAGAGCTTCATTTAGTACCGGCAATTTGTCGGTGAAGGAGTGACCAAGTTCCGGCGATGAGGAGTAGAGTGACTCTTGAAACATCACGGCAAGTATGAACAAGCAGAGGAGTGTGTGATCTTGGACATTCGGCGATGCGTCTGCCGATAAGTTTGAGGAACTCGCAAGAAATGTTATCGTTTCATGGATATCAGGATAGGCAATCAGCCCTTGGGAGGCCTTCGGGTTAACCTGGTGTAGTCGAAGGTCGATTGCTGGATGCACGGTAGCGGGGACAAAGTACTCTGAGATTTCCCAGACATGCGCCGGGGATGAATTCCTTGACGGCTCTGCCAGAGAGAACGCCCTATGCATTTCAGGTTTATATTAGCGCACAAAGGCTGTTCGTATTAGTATGAACATCATGAACACTCACAGGAAGAGAACCATATGAAGACGCCAACTTGAGCGAAAATTCTCTACCCCATTCCTTGCATTGACAACGCTGACAAGGCCGTTTTTATGGGCACGCCATTGGTCATCTATAGCCCAGTATTTCTGGTTCGCAGACGGTGAACTCAGATGAGGATTGTGGATGTTGCAATGGAGGTTCTTTAATCTGAAAATACTCACCTCGAACATTAGAAGGCGTGCAATAGCCGTAATCGTATCATCTTGTGTCGATCTTCTTTCGTCGGCCAGCCATTTCGCGATGATTCCCACAGCCAGGGTCCTGAACTTTTCCGATTCTATCGACTTTGTCTGGCCTTGACGGTGGGCGACATGAGCTGCCGCATGAGCCATCAAGGCGCAAAACGAGGCACTATTCGATAGATCCAAAGGCAACCAGACATCACGTACAGGGTCGAAGCCGGTACTTTGTGATAAGCCGGGGCCAAAACTAGCATGTAGATCGAGCCCTAAACAGACTTTAACATCAGTTGCCTGGAGAGTATAATTTTTATCTGCATTGTACTCACATGACGCGAAGATTTCTTGGTCTTTCGCCGACAGATCTATCGGGAATTTGGGGCCCAGCCCTTGAGCGATCGAGGACTGCTGCCCGTACTCGACGTTTGAAGCTGGAATTTTCGCGTTGGCGGAGCCTGGTTGACCTTCCCCATCTGGTGGATCTGGAGTCTGACCTTGTGATGCATCCCGTTGATATCCTCTGCTCTCGGAGCTATAGTCCTTGGGTAGTAGTGTTCTAAGCTGAGGTCGAGTGGTCTGGGGGGAACTTTGGAGGGCCTGGTGCCTCCTCCTCCAGAACTGTCGCATCGCATGGCTGCGGGCGCCTGGCTGGTCTGTACCGAATACAAACTGGTACTCGGTTGTTGCTGAATCCGAGTCTTGGTCTTCGCTCATGGTGGCGCTCTCGATGGGTATCTAGGTCATGCCGTGTAAAGCTGATAACAGATGGCTGTAAAAACCAGATAAATCTAGGAGGAGGCTGCTGCTGAATGTCGCTTTCTCGGCATAATAAAGGTTGATAGGTGATTGGGAGTTGGCTTGAGGCTTTGACAAGGGGGTAGAGGCGGGATTAACGAATGCACGGGGTGACGTGGTTTGATCTGGTTTTAACAGCAGTGAACGACACTACGTGCCCATCTCTCGTGGACCGGGGATCGGGTGCTGCCCGAATCCCTGTGCAGCTGAAACGAAAGTAAACATTATTAGGGTACCCTAAGGTACTGTTGCATGCTCTCCTGCCCTCTTTTTCCCGTAGTGGACACTGTCGTGACTTGGGTGGCCGGGCTCAGATATGGCTGACAGCCATCCCCCGGTTATGTGGACGCGCTTAATGACCAATATTAGTGCGGGATGGACACTTACTAGCCTTTCTTGGCCGGCAGATCGTCTGAGATTGGGAAATGAAAGGTTGAAAAGATCATATTACATGCAGCTGTTGGGGTCTCACGATCAAGCTGACGGGGAGGGGGTCCCTTTGCAGCCTCAGAGAGGGACTTCAAGAGTTCGCACCAGTCAACCCTCACCACTCGGACTAGTCCTAAAAGCCATCCACTGGGGTTCTGATTGGCCGAATACTGTTACCCTATTGGGTAATGGGATCTGGGTCCAGTGGACGGTCCGGTCCCGGATGCTTTTTGTACCTCCAGAGCCATTGCGTTGGGCCCTACCAGATCCAGATGTAAACTTCAACTGGGTCCCATGAGTCCGGCTCCGTAGATCATCTTGTCTCGGGCAGCATCTGGTATGTGTAAGGACCGTGTGCTCAAGTGTCTAACGCAGTGGTCAAGGAGTATATGGCTGGAGAAGCATGGAGCTTGGAAGATGTTGGGGTCTAGCGGTACCACGATTGCGTTCCATGCGCTTCCGTGGCCGCTATCTAGTTAGCAAAGGACTGTATATGGACGCGAAAGAGCTATGTCTCACCAAACCAAGGCGAACCAAGGTCACACTGCTCGTCCCTCAAATCCTCCTGGCGGAAATAGTATCCGTAGCCCCAGATATTTGTTGTTGCCATCCATTTCACATGTTGTGTCGAGATTGCCGGAAAGTCGTGGCACGCGCTTATCGAAGGGCGCTCTTCCCTTTCAAACCCAACCAACATTTGCAGTTAAACGGTCAAAGCCCATGTACGTATCTGTTATGTATTGGTTACTTAATTGCGATCATGTTCCGCCATTCCAGGGTTCCACGGAAGGCCTTTTATGTTGCAAAAGGTACGAGAGTTGACCGAGAGAATCCCGACTGCCATCCGACACAGTCCCACCTTTTTCTTCTCTTTCCAGCTATCCAGGATGCTATTCAGCTCTCCTCACCAAACTTCCCTGCCTCGTAAACACTTTGAAAAATGTTCCCTTCTACCGATGAGGGCCTTTTGCGGTGAAGACCATAGTATGCTAAAAACGCATGAGCCTAAATAATTAGACTCCGAGCTATAGACAGCCCATCGCCAATAGCCGGAGATGGTGCACTGGCTACTCGGTTGGAATCGTACTAGAGAGCTCGCTTAATCTACCCTGCGCCATTATTCCGATTTCCTCCAATTGCACGACTAATTGCGTGATTATGAGGCTGGGCGAATTTCCGATCGAAATGAGCTAACTCTTTGGCCCTAATTATATCTGCTGGTCTCTCATGAGCTGTCATATTCCAACCTTAATTGTTCCAACAATAGCAGGGTCTTGTTATGGTTACTGCTCTTGCCCAAGCCTATCCGGCATGGGTGTTTTGCAAAAGGATTTTCATGTACGCAGACTATTATGGTCCATGCTTCAATGTGTATAACATCGCCCTTACATAACTTCTTCCAAAGGCTGTATCGCAACTAATACAGAAAGAAAAAGACCCCAACATGACAAAAAAGGAGGGCTCCCGTCTGATTCAGAGATTTTCTGCAGCTGGTTAACCGTTGTGCCACTGCTGTGTCATCAGTGGAACTTCAATGGCCCTAGACCCATGGTTCGCAAAGCCACTAGTTGTAGTCGTGGGACCTGCCCGTCAGGGAAAAGGGTTCCGCTTATTTCAGCTTCTCCAAATACCTCTTTGTCTATCACTAGGATTATTGAGTTGTGTTAGACGATAAAACCTTCATACCCGAGAAACTTGGCTCTGAAAGTATGCACATCAGCTTGATTTGAATCCGCTTATCTTAAGTATCTGGTCAAACCCAATTCAACGACGATCGACTCGCACGACAGCCAAACAGCCAAACCCCGGCAGCAGCTTCGTCTTAGCATATGCAAGAGACTCCCTTACGTTCCTCCACCAAATTAGTCCCTATAATGCTCAAGCACTAATAATGGTCTGCAATCCTACCAGCAAAGCCAAATACGGCTAAACGTCGATACCAGCGCGAAGGTCACGTCGGTTATCCTCGTTTCCAACATCTCCAGTCCCACCTCGCTTATCACCTCCATGTTTATTCCCTAGATCACCAACCGAGCACGTATGAGTTCTGCACCGACGGAACTGCGGATCTGGCCGTCGGACCTGTCACTTCAGTTTGCCCCGCAGTCCTGTTGGGGGCTTCGTGCACATTGTTATTTGGGCGCTTACCGTGCCGTCCCATGGGGGTCATCAGGCCAGAAAATATGCAACCAGGAAATCTATCAGACCACGTGGGGTGCTCACGGACTGTCGCTGCTGAGTAACAGGCAAGTTCCAAAGTGGATTCCTTTCCCATGACTTGGCAGACTCTATCCCAGTCTTTCCATGCCAAGTTCTTGCATTTGTCGAGCAGCCACCGACGCATAACAAGAGCAAAGCGATTTCCAGGCTTTCTAGGGTGGCTCTGAAAGACGGGGGATTAACGGAAACCCTTTTCCGGTTAACCGTGCTTAACCTCACAGACCAGAAACAAATTTCCATGTGCAATTTTACTGCAGTTGGCCTTGGGCCTAGATCCTTATTAGATTTCAGATTAGACGCTAACAAGTCTTTGGAAATAGGAATAGATAGCCATCCAACATACAATTTTCCCTTGCCCTGAATTCTCAGCAACCCATACATCGACAAATATAATGACCATTTCACCTCTACAGTCGCGAAATGTCCCTGACCTTTGCCCCTAACATCTCCCTCAACCGACAATCGACTCTGCCAAACATATTCAACACAGCCTCCTTCAGCGGCTCAGGAACCCCAGTCAGCGTCTCAGCCAGATTTGCAACCCACTTTCGCCTTTCTGTCTCATCAAAGACCTTATTCCAGAGGTCCCGTGGCTGTACAAAATCTTCTTCATCCACTGGGATCTCATTCTGACCCAACGCGAACGATAGAATCCGCTCATCGTGCCGTACCTGGGCGGTAGTTCGACTCACAATCCCGGGAGAAAGCGAGCTGCGCACATAATTCGGATCCCCGCCATAGTTCTTCGTCACTGTGGCAAAGCCATCCCTCTCAAACGGCGCGTAGACAGGACAGACAGCGCGATTGGGCGGGAGCTGGGTGTAATTAACCCCAAGACGGTAGCGCTGAGCGTCGGGGTAGGCAAACATGCGGGCTTGTAACACTACATAAAGCCAGGGATATCAGTGCATGTTACACAACTTCGCAAGATTGGTATGCATGAACCAAGGGAGAGAGACATGGCCAACAACACAGAATTTCAATCAATGAAACGCAAAACAGCAAGGACGCAATGCAAACTTACTGGGATCGGGCGTGCTAGCAATCCCAGGCACCATATTGGATGGCGAGAACGCCGCCTGTTCAATTTCGGCAAAGTAATTTCCGGGCTGTTACTATGTTAGCACACAACACTCCACCCATTCCCAAAAACCTGCCACCAAATAGCAAACAGACAGAACTCACATTTTTATTCAAGGTCACCTTGCCCACTTCAATGAGTGGGAACTCCTTATGCGACCAAACCTTTGTGATATCAAATAGTCCCCGTCCGAATTCTTCCGCCCTCTCAGGCTCCATAACCTGCACACACAGCTTCCAAACAGGATACTGTCCCCGTGCAATAGCATCCCACAAATCCAAGTTATGGAAATCAGCATCCACCCCAGCCATCCGGGCGGCTTCTTGTCCGGAGAAGTATTTTCCATCGAGCTCAGGCCGGAAATGGAACTTGCAGTACCGGAAGGTGCCATCGGGGGATACGAGCTTGAATGTGTGTACGCCGAAGCCAGTGACGGATCGAATGGAGCCTGGAATGCCTCGAGAGCCGAAGAGATGGAGCAATGCGTGGACGCTTTCGGGTTGGTTGGTGTGGAAGTCCCAGAACTGTGTCACCCCAGAAGGTGAGTTGGTTAGTATACTATGTGGTAGGTAGGATAGCAAATATATGGCCTGAGGGTGAGGGACATACCATGGTCCAATCTGGACGATTCGTGGCAGGGTGCCGTTTATGGCTTCTGTTCAGGGAAGGGAAGCGGATAGGGTCTCGGACGAAGAAGACAGGCTATTGGCATCATTTAGCACACAAGTCCTTAGAAACCTTCCTTCCAGTATATAAAGAATGGTAGGTAGGTATACATACGATATGGTTTCCCACAATATCATGGTTCCCCTCTTCGGTGAAGAACTTGACTGAAAATCCACGCACGTCTCGCACAGTATCCGCACTACCCTTTTCACCACCCGTCGTGCTGAGTCGAAACAAAACGGGGGTTTTCTTTCCAATACCGTTGAGGAACTTAGCAGAGGTTAGGGAAGATACGTCGTTTGTCACTTCGAATTCTCCCCATGCGCCGGCTGCTTTCGCGTGGACGACCCTGCAGAGGTTTGGTTGGTTAGATGAGGATGGTCTGGAAAGGGGGGTTGATGGTGGAGGAAGGGAACAGGTACCTTTCTGGGATCCGCTCACGGTTGAAGTGAGCCAGAGTCTCGAGGAGAAGAGTGTCTCCTAGGGTTGTGATGCCTCCACCGCCAATTGTGGGCAGCGTAGT